AACTACTCGTTTTGCAACGCTGTATCGCTTGTGAAGTCCGCGTGAATTTGAACTGTTCAACGAAAGTTTATTTTACACTATTCTATTGGTTCAAAAGCCGCACGTGACAATGTAAATCAAATCGCGCATGTGCCAAAGTCACATGGAAGCCTGGGCAACAAACATGGCGGCTGATCTTGCGACGGAGTGCATTCAGGACTACATTCACCCGGACGATGAAACTCTGCAATCTACTATTGAAATGACTCCTGGGTTCAAACCTTTCACATATTGTGCATTTTGTTCACCCAAATTATAAATGGTAACGTTTTACGTCAGGGCCTCCTATTCCGAGACTTCTTGTGATATTTTTTTCCGAGCCACCGACACAATATCAGGAAACGCATTCGACGCTAAACGAAAAAAAAGGGGGGATGAAATAACCAGCTGCAGCAAGTAATATTATAAACTTTGAGAAGAATGTGATGGTGATTGAAACGGAAAATGCAATGGAAAATCAAAACTTGCGTGAAATAACACTGTGAAGTTTGGTAAATGTGCAAACGTTGGTTAAAGTGGTCGTAAAGATAGTTCTTTGATCATATTTTGCTTAAATTTACGCCTCTAGTAACCATAAATTTACACATTAACTTTGCTATGCCAGAAAATATGAAGCAAACATTCAGTTTTGACGTTCGATTTTTACACACAGAACAAAATGGTGGCAAATTTGAATCTAAACACCAAATTTACTATGGGGAGCAAAAGTGAAACAAAATATCTGTAAACTTGATATTTACTCCACATTTACGCCACCCTTGCAGAAAAGTAAACTTTCACTTTCGAACAAAATTTGCACCAAGAGCAAATAAGTAGCAACATTAGTACCCTGAATTTACAATAGATTTGCTCAACTAGCAAACTTACGCAAATCCGTTTTTTCGTCCAGTGTATCGAATTTATCTAGGATGCATTCTATTTAACTCATAACTTTCACAGCCTTGCCACACAACTCCATGTGCCCCTTGTGGGCCTCCTCCGATGTCCGCTGTCGCTTCCTGGAGCACTTTTTCTTAGCTTTGTCCCGTTTTGGCTCAGGAGGTGGGGGGTTGGCTTCCACTGGGAGATCAGCATCGGCATCGGTGCCTGAACTATCTTCGTCAAGACATGTTGCCTGGCCAAATTTCGCGGATTTTTGCTCTTCTGGTGACTTAGGCTGTGTGCAAACGGACGCAGCATTGTTGACCAACAACTCCCAACTTTGTTGGATGTTACATGTTGCGTCCGTTTGCACACCCTGTTGCATGTTGTTGCGTATTGTTGCGCAAAGTTTGAAACCAGTCAAACTTTTCAGCCAAAAACCCCCAACATTTCTATTGTTCCGTAATCGCTGAAGCGGAGCGCAACAATGTTAGATCCGTTTGTACAGCTCTTGCAACATTGTTGGGGCCGCGCACGCTCATTACGCATGGTTTACAAAGACTTATGGGCTGTATCCTTCCCACGATGCACTGCAGGTCCCAACATTGTTGGGAGTTGTTGCATCCGTTTGCACACCACTGCCAACATGCACGCAACAACTCCCAACATTGTGGGGTGCAACAATGTAGGGAGTTGTTGCGTCCGTTTGCACGCAGCATTATATTGCGTATCGCATCCTGTTATCCACAACAGTCTGTGACATCGCCGTCTTGATTGTACTTGTCGTGGCAGTCAGCTTTTTAGCTTTTTGGAGGTTTTGGGTAACAATTCGTGTAATCCTTTTCAGCGATGATTCTCTTGGGCTAGAACGATGGTATGCCCTGAAGCTTTCGTTCTTCATAAAATTTCCAGCCGGTCAGTGTTTGATGCTGTATGATGACCGATATTGATATATGGAAACACACGTGAGTTGCATGTCTCTGTAATTAGTAATTTGCAAGATATGTACAAGACTTGGAGGGTGGCCTTTCGAATCGAAAAAAGGCAGATAGCAAGGCATACTGAGCAAGGCCTGCTTTACACCGCGTCTCTCGGCTCTAAAGCGTTTTACGAAAACTGAGTGATAAGCTGAATTTCAGTCCTTCGCTGCTCTGTATCTCTCCAGGGGGCCTGGACGCTGATGTCGGAAAATAAACAGGCGTAAGCAGACAATACATACGTGCAAAAAACATGACAAGTTAGGATTTCAAAACAGTCTACGAATGTAAATAGATAGGAAACACGGAATGATATGTAACTAATGGCTCAAAGTTAAGGCGCCAGCAACATATATAGGTTCGGTTAGAATGTCATACATGTTACAGAATCTGTTGTGTACCATTTTTGTTCGGAAAACCGCTTGACAAAAATACTGTTTTCAAATCCTTTCCCAAAAAACGCTCAGATTGCGAGTCTCAAAACTCCGGATTTGGATTTCATCCGAAGAATCCACCCAGAGTGTGGATTTTATGGATTCATGGTCCGTTTTTGGATTTGCCCAAAAAACCCACAAATTCCGTGTTTGGATTCGGAAATTCGGATTTGGATTTTCCCAAAAATACCGCACCCTCCCAGCATTGGGTGTCTCGATGAGCCAGCGGTACTACCCACCCGACATTGTGATGATTTCATCGATTTTCTCTAACCCCTTCCACTAACCACACAGCAGGCAAAGACAAGTAAAGTAATTAAGGTGAGGTGTATTTTATTGAAAATTTTAGCGAGTAAATGCTCTTGGTTTTTGGCCATCTCAGTTTTAAAAGGAATAACATACCAGCTGCGGTAAATCCCTAATAAGAAGAGCCTTGATTTTACAATGGGTATCTGATTTTCCTCTAGCTAAAACGTCAAAATGGTCCCATTTCAAATTGTGGCCAGTTGAAGTGACGTGTTCTGCAATGGCTGATGAATGACCGCTACTTATCTTACTATCTTATTATTATTTAAATTTAAAAGTCTCATGTTAACGGTCACTTCTGAAGATGTATGTTGAAGCATACGAAACGTCAGGTTCGATATTATAAAAGTCAGTTATACAATGCGTTTGTTATTTCTGATGTTTGTAACCGCAGTTTGTGTGTTATTCCTTCTAGCGAGTATTTATCTTTTTTAATCTTTTACCTGAATTCTCATACAAATACTTTATGTTCACGGCCGTTTTAAGGATACGTAATATGAAACCACATGATTAAACTCTCATACTGAGCTTGGGCCGCCTGTGCTGTGAGACAACTGCACGGATTTCATGGTAATCTTGACTCTCCATTAGGTCCTTAGTGTAGTGACGTGATCCAGAAAGGGAACAAATCCCTCTTGGTCTTTTGTGTCGTATATATAGGTGCGTGCCATTAAATAAAATTTTTCGTACCTTCCAACAAATCATTGGGACTATGTAAGTAAGGTTTGGTGGGATACAATAGATAGTGTAGTAGTGATTACCTCGTCCCAGCAGGTTTTTCCCTTGCAAACTGGAACTGAAAAGTTAAGGGGCAAGGGAAAACCCGAGAAAGAGGATGTGGATTTACGTTAGAATTCGTCGCCTTTGAAAGGTAAGAAAATAGACCTTTTCAAACAAATGAATAATTCAGAAAGAGAATACAAAGACCCCTAAATTACCATTAAATTCTGCAAAGTTGCGTGTAGAATTTCATGTTACTTTCTGTCAATCGAGGCAATACATCACTACAACGAAACCCGATAGACCCGATAAAGTGCTTGATCCGATCTGCAGACAACGAGAAGTGGCTTGAAAACACATGGGAGGCGCAGCCGAGTTTTTCAGGTGTTTTGAAAGCTAATCGAATCGAATATAACAGTGTGTAGAGTGTCTGCGATATTACTGCTCAGTTACCCCCAAGAAAGAAAGAAAACTATTTTTCCGAGCGAAGTCAGACGCCTGGGGTCTCGCGAAGTTTATAATCTCGTCGCGCTTGGTGTTAACGACCTGCAAAGTCGGACGGCCCATCTATACTTGTATATATCGCGATGGTGTCCGCTCTGACGTCAACTATTGTATGACGTCACGAAGCATTTTATCATTCCAGGCAATCCCGAAGAGGGTCTTGCTTTGGTCATATTTCTATCGGTTTGGTTTTTTGCAGCCGATTTAGGAGTCGGTAAGTGCTTTCTGCAATGAATTTCGAATGCAAAAGTACTTTCTTAAAAGAACGAATGGAAGAGATTTTGGATAATTAACCTTAAGACTGATGTGAACAAAAATCGAGGTAACAAAACACGTTTTGCTCGCAGACGAGTTCATACCGTATCGGCTTAGTTGGCAATCTGTTGTTTAAATGCGATGAAATGCGTTTCTGTTCGGTTCTCACAGCCAAAACAGTAGTCACTCTTCTGAAAAGTATCTTTGAGTTCGTGTTCAACAGGGCTCGATCAACTTATATGTACAGGGCGCGGCGGCGGAAGTTCTCGTGGAAAGCTTTACCAATAAACTGATATCATCAGGGACTTTTCAGTAGTGGCGTAGTGGTAGCGAAACGGTCTGGCGCGTAGAAATTCCCAAATTCGATTCTGGGCAGAAGCTATTTTTCTTCTTCTCTTCTCTTCTTTTATTTTTCTTTTCTATTAGTTTTCTTTTCAGGTATTGTAGTTTTGTTTTCTTTCTTTATATAGCTTAAGTTTTTTAAAGTTATAAATTTTCATCCCTATTGCCTTTTTTCCCATTCAACTTCTTATCGTTCCGCCGAAGTCCTCCGCGACGTCCGGTGACTCACGTATTTCTAGTTTAATGAATTAATGTATCGGAATTGAAAGTTACTGGCTGAGCTTTCGCCTTGTATATATGCAAAAATAGGGTTGCTGTCTGCAATTTCCTAGCAGCAATCCCGCGACCAACAAACCGCCAAGACCGGTCTCTGCGACCAACTGGTCCATCCGTGTGAACACAAAAGGCAGCAAGTCGCTGCGAAGAGACGACGAAGAAACAACACAGACAGCCCAGACTCTGTTCCGTTGGAGAGCAACCTGGGAACGAGGCGGTGGCTGAGGACCCTTGAAACGAGCTATTGTGATATTGCGTGACACCTAGAGCGAAACAAACACCTCCCAGCTATGATTGTGCGCCTTGCAACATGCAAATATTGAACTACTGGAAGCGAGTAAAACTGTAATTGCTTTGGAACTGATGAATCAAACCCGTTGTCGAAATGTCTGCCGTCGAATACAACAGCCTGATCTTCGAAATAAGCCAGAGACTAGATGAACTGAATGTGGGAAGGAAGTTGATCGTTATGTGTAGAGGGAAGGTGGCACCTCGAAGCGAAGGAAACATGCAAGATGCTTTCTCGTTGTTCGTAGAACTGGAAGGAAAAGAATTTCTAGGACCTGATAATCTGGATGTGTTGAAAGACCTGTTAAAAGGTGTTAAGGAATGGGCCCTTTTGGAAGAAGCTGAAAAATTTGAGAACAAAAGAAAAGAATACGACGTCTTACTTAAGAAGATCATTCGAGTACTCGACGAGCTAAATGATGTGGAACGGCTCGTCTCAATTTGCAGAGAAAAGATACCGCCAGAAAGGCGAGGCAACATTCCTGATGTACGATCATTGTTTAAGGAGCTGGAAAACAACAACTGTCTGGGAATTAACCGTCTTGGCATCTTGAAAGAGATTTTGGCCCAGACGCAGAAAAGCGATCTGTTAACTACCGTTAAGGACTTTGAGGAGCGCAGAACTCGGGAAGATAAGTTTGAAAGGCGAAAAGGTATGCACCGTGCATTGAATGTCTTTTGTGATTACTTTCATTTCGTTGTTTGTATGAGTTTTTCAGTCTTATGACAGTCCATCTTCCATAATTTTAAGCCTGACTTCGACCCACCTCGATGGCGTTTGTGTATGTGCGATTTAAAACCTTACTTGAACTGTTTTTTTTTTAGCACGAGCAGCTGCTATTGTTTCGGCGGCCAGGGATAATTTGACTGGAGGTGAGTTTTAGTACAGTTAAATCAACAATTACAAACGCATGAAATGTAGTATTGTAGTATTGTCTGGGGTAATTGCGGCAAAACGCTCTCTGAAAGATTACAAAAACTGCAGAATCGTGCTGCTCGCATTTTGACTTTCTCCTCCTATGATGCTGACTCTCGCTACGTGTTACAGCAACTTGTTTGGAAAGACCTGATCACCCAGCGTCAAATTCAAGTAGCTTTAATGGTGTTCAAAGCTCTTAATGATCTGGCTTCTGACTATTTATCCTCTATGTTTACTGAGCGCAGTGTGTCAGGCTATGTCTTAAGGGACTCTACGAACAAATTAAATGTCCCTATACCAAGAACCAACTACCTAAAAAGGAGCTTTAGCTATAGAGGTGCAACTCTCTGGAACAGTCTGCCCTGCAATCTTAGGCAAAAGAAATCTCTAAATCGTTTTGAGCAATTGTTAAACTTTAATGTCTTATTGGTGCTTAATTGCTTCCATGTAACATATTCTACACTTTTCACTACAATCTAACTTCAACCTCTCTTCTCCTTTTGATTTTCCCTTTATCTGGTAGCCTCATGATCAAACAGTCTAAGCAACTTTCTACTGCCGTTGTCGTGTTTGTTCAGATAACTTTAAGAATTTTCTTATCTTTTTGTGTAGTTTTGACTATCAAGACTGTTTTCAAAGGGATTGCAGGAGGTATCGTCATTGCTTCTGCCTTTGAACTCCTGAGACGTGGTTCCACATATGAGCAGCTCGTCACTGCCGTAAATGACTGTCTACTTCCCGCTGGTGCTAAACTGATACAAATAGCTGAAGGCAGTGTGAATCTCAAAGTTCAGGCAGAGAATCGTTTAGCTCTCGACAGTTTATGGCGAATGTACAAGAATGGCACACTGAAAGCCCGCCTGGAAGCCTTGTTTGTTACAGATGAAATGAGAGAGGTTGCTGGTGGTGAAGGAGTGGAAGTTATTGTGACCATCGACGAACAAGAATATGAGAAAGCTCGAAACGAGTTAACTACTCAGGCAAGAGGTGAGAAAAGTGTTCCCGCGATGATTCCCCACTTTAAAAAAAGTACACAATAGTCAGTAAAATGGGCTTTGGTGAAAAGGTGTTATCTTTCTTTCTTAGTTCTTTCTGAATTTTGCGTGTGATGGCTAAAGCTACAATCGGCGACAAAATTGTTGAGGCATTGTACTCAAATAGAGTAACTTCAGAGGACAAAAGAATCCACACCCCTCCTCTCCATTCAAGGTTGAGGTGTTTGTTGTTTTCTATAGGTAGCTGGAACAGCGGCACAACATTGTATGGAGGGGACAGGGTAAGAAAAGCTTTATTTTCCCCTTTTGAAGTCAGAGAAATGTCAGAAAGTCCCTTTAGGGCGATAGTGTCTCAACTAATTTTGTCGCCGATTTTAGTTCCAAGCACACGGTGCCTATCTCCTTCCATCCCCGGGCATTTGTCGGAAATTGTCCTTTTTTTCCTCTGCAAATACCCCTCATTGCAGCCAGTCGATTTATACAAATATCTTTCCGTGGAACTTAAAAGATATGAACAAACGTCCCACCTCTGGGCTCGGGGAACAAAGCAAAAGTTATGCTCTTTCTTTGAAAATCACAAATCTGCGAATAAAGTCAATGAATGAACGAAACAGCAAGAAACTCGCAAGCAACGGAGTGCTTAATAAAAATCCAGTAGAGTATAAAATATATCTTTGCGAGTTTTCCCGATATTGCCGGGGTGCACCGCAAAGAATTGAAGAACGGCTTGACTTTCCAAGATTTTACCGAGAGACACGTCGCGAAATTGAACCTTTCTCGAAAGCACCTGTCATCTAATAAGATAAACCTTCCTGTGGCTGATTTCGTCTTTAATTCGAAAGAAGAGGACTAGATCATTCATCGTTTTTGGTATTCTTATAGTGAACTCTTATAGTTCTTTACTGACTTTATGTGACTTCGTTCACCTATCATTTCAGTTATGTATAATTGTGTATATTTTCACTACCATTTTGACTTCAGATGATCCTGTGGGCAAAGACGAAAAGCGGCCTAAATACCTAGATCAGGACAAATATGACTACATTCAGAATTATTTAGAACAAGCCAGAGAAGAAACCAAGGATGGCGATTCACACAGCGTAACTACAGACACAAGTGACAGTGGAATGGTGGGATCAAATAGTGCATCATCTGAAGTTGGAACAGAAGACACCAGCGGTAAGCATATACTTTGAAATACAAAAACATAAGCCGTTGTTAATACAAGATAACAGAGCCTTTCTAACTAGTCTTGTGAAAATTTTATAAAGAAATCAACTCCTTGTAATTTTTATATTGCTCCCCTTGCCTGGGCAACCCGATCTTACAGTGCTGACTACTATATAACCGGGGCCACCTTGACAAAGTTGACCAATTGGATGGCAGGAAAATAACAATACATTCCGAGAAAGTTGGTTGTCAATTGTAAATACTATGGAACGAAATCAACAACATGGATTGTACTCAACCAATTACCACTTAGAGACGTGATCGTAAACCCGCTGAAGAAAGCCTATGTTTCCTGAAAGGTTAGAGTGTTGGCGAAGGAGAAAAATGTAAACGTTAGATATGTTTTTGACTTGAGGTCGCATGTTTATTGCAAGTGCGTCAATAGTGGCAAGGAAATTGCTTGAAGATGACCAAATAACAGCTTGTGTCAGACAAATATATCTCCTAGGTGTTATACGTAAAGTTTCGAAAAGAAAAACATTGACTGGCGAAACATTTTGCTTTCTTGAAAAACGTTTGCTAACGAGTAACTTATCGTTTTCTTACGAGTTGTTGATTGGCCCATGCCACCTTCGTTGGAATGTATTGTTATTTTCCTGTAATCTGATTGGCCAACTTTGTTTAATGGCCCCGGTTACAGTACCCTGCGAGCAGAGGCTACATTTTCGCTGTGTTAGCTAGCGTGCGAAAAGTGGCCTCTGCCGACCACCGTTCAATTTTCTATCGTGCATGCGCGAAATTCGTCACGCGATTGAAGCGATTCGCAAGGAAACAGGTCTGTCGGTCTGCACTCAGGTCTGTCGTCAAATTGCGGGAGTTTCGCGGGAATAAAAAACATTGCGACAACTTCTGGGCTGAGTTTCTCAAAGCATGGTTAGCTTTAACCATTGGTTAAGCAGTATCAAAACCAATACGTTGTCAAGGTATTAAACGCTGGTTAACGCTAACCATGCTTCGAGCAACTGGGCCCTGATCTGCTGCGCAAGACTCACGCAAGACTCAGGCAAGACTCACGCAATACTCTAAACCGGTGAAGAACAGGAAAAAGCCATTTTTTTAATTTCATCCGTCCAGATTTCTGGACGGATTTGAACGGTTGTTGGCAGAGGCTACTTTTCGCACGCCAGCTGACACAGCGAAAATGTAGCCTCTGCTCAGAGGGTAAATACATACATAATTTAAATACAGGGTACGGTTACAGTAGTCGCACTATAAAGCGAAATTTGACAAAAAAAATACTTTTTATTTTGACATGTTGAACGCCTCGAAGGTTTTATGCAGATGAGCCACTTCTAGCTAATCACAGAAGACTTACGTAAGCATTAATTTGAGTTAGGAAGATGGGTTTGGTAGTCAGTATAAAATCAAGGTGCGACAACGATATTCAGAGAGAGTGCATTCCTGATACTGCAATGTAAAGTTGTGATGAATAAGCCTAGTTAAAGGTTAAAGAGAGGAAAGTTAACAAAAGTAAGACTTGGTGTTTTGTTTAAGGGGAACCGCTAGTTCCCGTCAAGTTTCCTCCGAGAATAAGCGTGATTAAATCCCGTTTTTTATTTCCTGTATTTACAGTATGTCTTATGACGTCAGATATAAGCCTGTCAATTTCGTGATCAGCAGAAAGGGTGTGCCAAAGAAATTTAGACATATAAAAGATCTCATTATTTTTGTTTTTTAAAAACGCCGTACATAACCGTGCATAACCTTATATAGCCCTATATAGACATACATGGCCCTACATAGCCGTATGTAGCCCTACATAACCCTGCATAGCCCTACATAGCCCTACAAAGTCCTACATAGCCATACATAACCTTACATAGCCATACATAGCCCTACATAACTCTACATGGCCATATACAGCCCTACATAACCCTACGTAGACATACATAGCCCTACATAGCCATACTTAGCCACACATAGCAATACTAACCCTACATAGCCCTACTAGCCCTACATAGTCCTACTAACCCTACATAGCTCTGCATAACCCTACTAGCCCTACATAACCCTACTAGCCCTACATAGCTCTACATAACCCTACTAACCCTTCATAGCCCTACTAGCCCTACATAGCCCTACTAACCCTACATAGCCCTACTAGCCCTACATAACCCTACTAACCCTTCATAGCCCTACTAGCCCTACATAGCCCTACTAACCCTACATAGCTCTACACAACCCTACTAGCCCTACATAGCCCTGCTAGCCCCACATAGCCCTGCTAACCCTACATAGCTCTACATAACCCTACATAGCGCTACTAGCCCTGCATAGCCCTACATAACCCTAATTAGTATATACACACTCAGTGATCTTGGTGATTTAAGCAATAATCTGATTGGTTCGCTATCTCGGACTATTCAACAATATTCACCTCCTAGCGAGTGGATAATGTGTGAGCTCGGTTTTTTTCTCATTTTCTTAGAGAAAGATCTTTTAAAAGTCGACAAAATCTTAAGGTTGACTTTTTTCAGGCAAGAAAAGACTTCGAAGGATTCAAAACGGCGTTTTTCCATTTAGTGTTGTTGAGTTTTGTGGTCGATGGATTGTTTTCAACTCCCGTTTATTCACCTAGAAGAGGCCGTTTCGTGAACTCAGCGTTTCCTAACAAGAAAAATTTGGCCCAAAAACGAAGTTTATTTATGACAAACAAATTTGGAAGCAAATGTTTGCAGAAATTCTACGTTTCAAGTAAACACGAGAAAGAATGCTACATGAAGACGACGTCTTACCTCCAGGAACCGAATCGCCATCATTGTCAGCACTTCATGCGAAGAACGACACAACAAACCTTTTCGGCCATAAACTTGGCGAGTCAACAGAAAACAACAAAGCTCTTCTTTTCTTCTCAGGTAAGGAAACAATTCAAACTTTTAGCGGTTCCATTGAAGTCATTACACTGTTGTTTGCGAAGTGATAAGCTTGTGGATTGCCATGTTTGAAAATTCTACAAAGATCTATTTTTAAACTGTCGCGCGTCTAGCTGACCTGATCTGTCAGTCAAATCGTACCTTTTAATGGTTTCCTCTCTGATTTTGTTGAGATCACTTCGTGTGTATATACTAAAACAATTATTCTTTTCAATCTCGGTGAATAGTGGCTTTAGGAATATTTACCTCGCCACTTCGTGGCTCGGTAAACGTTTTGCCACTATTCACCTCGATTTTAAAGAACAATTGTTAAATAGCCCTACATAGCCATACATAGCCATACATAACCCTACATAGCCATACATAGCCCTACATCGCCCTATATCGCCCTACATAGCCCTACATAACCCTACATAACCCTACTAACCCTACATAGCTCTACATAACCCTACTAACCCTACATAGCCCTACTAGCCCTACATAGCCCTACTAACCCTACATAGCTCTACATAACCCTACATCGCCCTATATCGCCCTACATAGCCCTACATAGCCCTACACAGCCTTACATAACCATACATAGTCCCACATAGCTACACATACCCCTACATAGCCATGCATATCCCTACATAGCCATACATAGCCCTGCAAAGGCATACATAGTCATAAATAGCTCTTTATAGCCCTACATAACTCTACATGGCCATTTATAGCCCTACATAACCCTACATAGTCATACATAGACATACATAGCCATACATAGCCCTACATAGCCATACATAACTCTACATAACCCTACTAACCCTACATAGCCCTACTAGCCCTACATAGCCCTACTAACCCTACATAGCTCTACATAACCCTACTAGCCCTACGTAGCCCTACTAGCCCTATAGAGCCCTGCATAACCCTACTAACCCTACATAGCTCTACTAGCCCTACATAGCCCTACTAACCCTGCATAGCTCTACTAATCCTCCATAGCCCTACATAGCCCTACTAACCCTACATAGCTCTACATAACCCTACTAGCCTTACATCGCCTTACTTGCTCTACAGAGCCCTAAATAGCCCTACATAGCCCCACATAGCTCTACATAGCCATACATAGCCCTACATAACCCTACATAGCCATACATAGCCCTACATAGCCCTATATAGCCCTACATAGCCCTGCATAGCCCTACACAGCCCTACATAGCCATACATAGCCCTACAAAGCTACACATAGCCCTACATAGCCATACATATCCCTACATAGCCATACATAGCCCTACATAGGTATACATAGTCATAAATACTCTGCATAGCCCTACATAGCCGTGCACAGCCCTACATAGCCCTACATAGTCCCACATAGACATAAATAGCCATAGTAGCCCTACATAACCATACTTAGCCATACATAGCCATACATAGCCTTACATAGCCCTACATAACCCTATATAACCCTACATAGCCCTACATAGCCATAAATAGCCCTACATAACCCTACAAAGCCCTACATAGCCCCACATAGCCATAGATAGCCCCACATAGCCATACATAACCTTACGTAGCCATACATAGCCACAGATAACCCTACATAGCCATACATAGCCGTACATAGTCCTAGGTAGCCCGATATAGCCCTACACAGTCCTACATATCCCTAAAGATCCCCACATAGCCCTACTAGCCGTTCATAACCCTACATAGCCCCACATGGCCATTATAACCCTACATAGCTGTACACAGCCCTACATAGCCATACATAGCCCTACATAGCCGTGCACAGCCGTACACAGCCCTGCAGAGCCATACATAGCCAGACATTGCCCTACATAGTCAAACATAGCCCTACATAGCCATATATAGCCCTACATAGCCCTATATAACCGTACACATCATCTGCAGGAGCTTGACATGGCAAACCGAGTGAAAAGCTTTTTTGAAATGCAGACCAAGCAGGCATAAATCTTTTCCTTGTGATTATGAACGTTACTAGCTTATCTTTCAAGGTTCGGAATGTAAAGACGTGGTCTGCTGTGCGGTTATTTGGTAAAAAGAAAAAAGCCAACTTGAGATTCAATTGTGAAATGTATTTAAAGACATGACATGTTTGAGGAGTCGTTGGTTTAAGATAGAACAAAATTGAACAGTTTTCCCAGGTAGATGGAGACAGATATACCTCGGAAATTTGCCGGGTCATTACTCCCGCCCGATATTATAGATGGGAGTAATAAGACCACCACATGACGACTGAGGCATGGTACCTGTGGTAGGAATTGAATCAAATAATTTGTCATTTACAGGCATCAAAGTGTCAAGACTAGCTTTCACCATTTCACTTCTAATTGTATCTGAAAATGGTGATTTATTATTCTTTAATTTACGTATTTCGTTTTTAATAATCCAGAAGTCTAGGGGACGAGAGTGTTCACCATGACGTTCATTTGTTTGCAGCTTATTGTAAATGTTTTACTGGGCTGGGTTAAAAGAGTCATTTGAATGAAGAGTTTGGAAATATTGTAGCCAATTTTCTTCTGAGATTGATAGGGCATCCTCTCTGGTACGTAACCCTATATACCCCGACAGATTCCAGGTATTATGGAATTTACATACTGGGGGATTTGAATTGTTTTAAATCCGTTAGAGGATTACACTACCCATTTATTGGACTTGATGGTTGAATATCAATTGGCACAATCAATCAAAGAACTTACCGAGTTAATGCCAAATCGTATACTCGTATTGATGTATTTATTACATAGTTATACACCCTAGGGGTGACACTCACATAAAAGTGAAGGGGATGCTCATCGTTTCCCTTAGTGATGTAAATTGCCGATTTTGGTGCCACTCAGTAAAGTTACTTTCGACACTATTTGCCCGTTAAGGTATCGCTTAGGGCCGTACATAAATATATTTAAAAAAAAATTTGCGTGACACTGACCTTACAGAAATATATTAAAAGAGAACATGACATCCCTGGCATTTATTTAGGTCCCTAGCTAGCTTTTCTATAGATGTCTGTTTTAGTATGGGGTCCCACGCCCTCGCTGGTCTCCTTAGGGGTTTAGTAATTTTAATTTTCCCACGAGCACCGGGGCCTCACATAGTCATACACATCGTCAGTTCTTGATTGCCAAAACGGCCGCATAAAGATCGGTCAAGCTAGGTTGTGATATTATTGCGGACACCAATGGATGTAACGAAATAAAGCAACTAGTGATTCTACCTCGCTCTGCAATAGACCTTTCCTTGTTCATTTTTTCCCACCTTTTTAATGGAGGGACAAGTCCGCCAACTCCACTGGGAAGTGCGCCTTTGAATTAGTTAAATTACCAGGTTTGAAAATGATTTTTGTAAACTAACCAAGATATAGCTTCTCAAAGTGGCAAAATGTTTCAAAATTTTATTGGCGAAATTAGCGAAATTTTCTATGGGGGGCGCGGGGGGGCACAAATTTACCCCCCACCATACAAACGTCGACACCGTCACTTTCAAATTTGGCAGTCTCCCAAACTTTGAGGCTTCTTTCTAGTGGTATTGACAGATTTTTTCCTTACTGGTCCATGTCAAAAGTTTAAAAAACCGTCGAAAGGTCTATCCATACACGTTCCACTCGGGATGCGAATTTTGACAAATACATAAAGCCTTTACGTGAGATCCCCGCTTTGCGTGGTGTAACCGGTAGAAAAAGTGGACGGCGGGAGTTGTATCCGGGTGTTTTCGCTTAATATAAATGGGCCTATGTCTGAAGCCTCCCCTGCAGATGATCTTAGGAGGTTCGTCACGCGTTCCTGGGGCAGGAACGCGTGACGCACCCCTAAGAACGTTTGCGGGGACGCTACTATATCTGGGGCTGAGAGGGGGTATTTCCACTCACTCGGAATTGAAAGGCGTGTGCCGCCAGGGGTCGTCTTTGTAACGTTTGGGTTTGGATTACTTTTACAGCGTACTTGTTACTCGCTGAAATGGAAAATTAGTTTGTGGATAGTTATTTATAAAATTCGTATTTGAAAGACGAACCACATACTTTACTTCTAGAGCGGAGTCAAGAGGTATTTTGGGGTGGCAGAAAAACAAATCCAGACTTGGTTTATCAAGGCTGTGCTCCAGCAGAGCCCGGTGGCCCGTGGCACCCAACTTTTGTTCTCGGGCGACAAGAAAATCTTAGCTTTTTCATAGAAATCATATGCTGGGCACTCTGGATTTCACAATGGGCTCTCTTCAATTTTTCTTAGAGCACAGCCTTGTTTATTTGTAAGGTGCTCCCAATGAGTGTTTTCGGCTAACTTCCTTCCCTATGATATAATTTGGGCGGAAGGGTTTCTCACACGATTCTTGAGTTCAGATGGTAGAGAAAGCGCAAAGGGAACAGAGCAGGAAAGAACGGCGAGAATGAACACCTACAAGAGTCTTGAGACTACGAACCTGAGAATACTGGGTAATCACTATTATAAATACAAACTTCGTTTACAGCATTTTGATTAACCAACTTGGCTTTGAAAAACAACTTTATAATGGGTTTATACATCAATCTAACTACTAATTTATAAAATAATCCTTAAAAAAATCGTTTTGCGTATTGATCGATCCTGGGTGACAAAATATTGCCACAATCGTGCTATAGTTTCGCAAAACATTATAAATGCAAAACATATGTACGTTTCTTCCTTGAAACGTACGCTATACGGTCAGAAACATTGTTTATATGATGGCTATGAAGAATCTTACAAGGTGTAACACTTGCCTTATATCTATAATTTGCATTACCGTAATTGGTTAGCGCATTAAGCCGAAAAAAAAAACTTTCAAATGGCATTAGGCATCACTCAAATGATGATTATAAAGCAAACAAAATGTTCTTGGTAAGTTGATTGCCGATTGATACTCTTAGTTTTTCAAAAATGGTGAACCTTTACAACTCTCTTAACAAGTTCAAAATGTTGTGGACCACAGATAGGTTTTAAGTTTATTGAACTATATGTATGGCTATGTAGGGTTATGTAGGGCTATTTATGGCATGATGTAGAGCTATGTAGGATTATGTAGGGTTATGTATGACTATGTAGAGCTATGTAGAGCTATGTGTTGCTATGTAGGGCGATGTATGGCTATGTACGGCAATGTACGGCTATGTAGGCTACGTAGCACTATGTAGGGTTATGTAGGGCTATGTATGGCCATGTAGGGCTATGTACAGCTACTAGGGCTATGTAGGGCTATGTAGGGCTATGCAGAGCTATGTATGGTTGTGTAGGGCGATGAATGGCTATGTAGGGTTATGTAGAGCTATGTAGGGTTATGTAGGGCTATGTATGGCTATCTAGGGCTATGCACAGCTACTAGGGCTATTTAAGCCTATGTAGAGCTGTGTATAGTCTGCTACACAGCCGTTTTTGGTGTCGTCACGCAACGCTCCTCCCCACTAACGGCTGCTGAAAACCGAACTGCATTCCTTTCCCTTTGTGTTTGTGGTCTAACGAACAAACCAATCACGTACAAGAAATTTGACAAATACGTGAGCCGCAGGGCGCTAGGAAGCGAGCACGCTTCTCAGTTTTCGACAAATCAATCAATCGTCGCTGAAAATAGACGGGCTCTGTGTTTTCAAGCAACGAAAAGGTTAATTTGCAAAAAAGTTTGTTTTAGGCGGTCAAGAAAGTTCCAAGTGAAAAAATGGTTTGATAGGCCTAGAAAACTTTTACCAAGATCGGTTGGTTCTTCATTTAACGTGCATATATGCTGATATGTAGTGAAGAATTTAATGTACCGGATGTGCTCATTGTGTTCTGTGAAGACTAAACTCTCAAGGGTACTGATTCAAAAAGCAATCTTATAAATTATCGATGAGCGATTTCCCGAAGCTATACCTTTAAGCAACTTTATGAGCACATCCATGTTGTGAATCGCAATTTGCTCGACTTGCTTGCTGTTGCTGCTTATCTCCTAAATTTTGAATAGGACTCGACTACGACAACACTGTAGTTAATTGCTTGTTTTCACGCGATGATTTTGATTATTCTGTCATTCACACATGGGGCAACGATAAAAGCAAAGCTGTGATTGGAGGAGTCACAGCACCGCAAAGATGGCGCGAACACCTTCCAGAAAATGGGAGCTGAATTATAATTGGCTAATCACGGGAAAGGAATGTAGTTCGATTTTCAGCAGCCGTTAGTGGGGAGGAGCGTTGCGTGACGACACTAAAAACGGCTGTGTAGCAGACTAAGCTGTGTATGGCTATATAGGGCTACGTAGGGCTATGTATGGCCATGTGGGGCTATGTAGAGCAAAGTAGGGCTATGTATGGCTATGTAGAGCAATGTAGGGCTATGTATGGCTATGTAGGGTTATGTATGGCTATGTAGGGCTATGTAGAGCAATGTAGGGCTATGTAGAGCAATGTAGGGTTATGTATGGCTATGTAGGGCTATGTGGAGCAATGTAGGGCTATGTATGGCTATGTAGGGCTATGTAGAGCAATGTAGGGCTATGTATGGCTATGTAGGGCTATGTATGGCTATGTAGGGCTATGTGGAGCAATGTAGGGCTATGTATGGCTATGTAGGGCTATGTATGGCTATGTAGGGCTATGTAGAGCAATGTAGGGCTATGTAGGGCTATGTATGACTATGTAGGGTTATGTATGGCTATGTAGGGTTATGTATGGCTATGTAGGGCTATGTAGAGCAATGTAGGGCTATGTAGAGCAATGTAGGGTTATGTATGGCTATGTAGGGCTATGTGGAGCAATGTAGGGCTATGTATGGCTATGTAGGGCTATGTAGAGCAATGTAGGGCTATGTATGGCTATGTAGGGCTATGTATGGCTATGTAGGGCTATGTGGAGCAATGTAGGGCTATGTATGGCTATGTAGGGCTATGTATGGCTATGTAGGGCTATGTAGGGCAATGTAGGGCTATGTAGGGCTATGTATGGCTATGTAGGGTTATGTATGGCTATGTAGGGTTATGTATGGCTATGTAGGGCTATGTAGAGCAATGTAGGGCTATGTATGGCTATGTAGGGCTATGTAGAGCAATGTAGGGCTATGTATGACTATGTAGGGTTATGTATGGCTATGTAGGGCTATGTAGAGCAATGTAGGGCTATGTAGGGCTATGTATGACTATGTAGTGTTATGTATGGCTATGTAGGGCTATGTATGGCTATGTAGGGCTATGTAGAGCAATGTAGGGCTATTTATGGCTATGTAGGGCTATGTAGAGCAATGTAGGGCTATGTATGGCTATGTAGGGTTATGTAGAGGAATGTAGGGTTATGTATGGCTATGTAGGGCTATATAGAGCTATGTAGGGCTATGTAAAGCAATGTAGGGCTATTTATGGCTATGCAGGGCTATGCAGAGCAATGTACGGCTATGCAGGGTTATGTAGGGCTATGTTGAGCAATGTGGGGCTGTGTAGCATAGTGCTACTGTAGTCATACCGCATATTAACTAACGTGAAACCACTATATATATATGATGCTTACACCACGTACTTACCCCGAGGCTCTGTGCCACACACTCGCACTATCGTTTTTGTTATATCATATATCAGATATGATCACTGACATTTCAAAGGGAAAGAATTTGCTAGTGGTCTCACCAGTTTGCTAGTGGAAAAAACTCTTACTAGCAAAACTTTGGAAGTGCACTAAAAAGTTAACGTCGAGCCCTGCCTTCTACAATTGCCTGTTTCTCGGCGGGTTCAGGATATGCAGGGATGTTTAGTGCAGCAGACATTCTTCAAATAGCAGCTGTCATCCGCTAATCCTTCGAGTTGTATTGTTAATGTTCTTGCAATTGCTTCAGTTTTAGGCAGTAGTTCGAATATTTCTTCGCAAAACGTGTAAAAAATTCTGTCATTTTCTACGGCACTTCTGAAACAACGCAACCTCGTCCCAGGGCTTCTCGGTTGCCGTCCCTTTTCCTGGCGATAATCCTGTAGTATTGACGTCATTTTCGGATATCACAAACGTCATCCAAAGCTGTTAGCCGTAGGATTTGAGCCAATATTTTGAATGAATAATGATAGCTAATATACGCAACCTCAGTGTCTGCTCTATAAAATAAACATTTCTTACTGAATGATAGTAATCCAAAGTTAACTTGCCTTTCGCTTTTATTTATAGATTCCACTTCCAAACTATGCTTGAAAGATGTAAGTGACCAAGTCACAACAGAATTCACCTCCAGGCTCAAAAGTGACACAGTTGCTTTGGAGAGGTTCTACCGATCCTTTGGTCTTGATCCTAGCAAATTACGTACTAGGGGATTGTCCGACATGAAAGAGTTATTTCCTGACACTCCTGTCAAGATGTTGAAAGATGTTTGTGAGGCACTGCAGCTGTTCGACCTTGTTGAGTTGTTGGACAAAGTAACAAAACCAAGAACACTTCGACCTGCTCTTCCCCTGAAGGAAATAGAAAATTTTTCTAGAACCAATAACCGTCCCATCAAGATTTTCACGAAAGCGGAGGTGTTGATCATCAATTGCTCTGGAGAAGACGGAGCAGATTGTGGTGCTGAGAATTTTGGTTCCTTTTTTAAAGTTTTGAACACGGATAACCAAGTAACTACATTGACAGCAAAGTCCTCCTGGAATTTGAGTGAGCAACTGGCGAAGTTGACGGAAAGTAGAATGACTAAAGATTACGTAATCGAGGAAGCAAAAATTAAGGAAGAAAGGTTAAAATACACTCTGGAAAATAAAATTCCAGATAGATACCGGTCTCCTCTAGATCAATGGTTTATAGAAAAAGTAACCCTGGAACACGATGAGCAAGTCTTGAGCAAAGGGGAGGCAGAAATGAAAAAGGAACTAGGAGATATAATGGAAAAATCAAAGCGGTTGACAAAAGAAATAATTGCAATAAACGAGGAGATAAAAGAGAAAAAGGAGGAACTGAAGAGAGAGAATGAGAAATTCAAAATAACTGTTTCAACCCAAATCGACAAATGGATAAAACAGGCACATTACGAAGGTAGGTTAACGCTAATAGTTGACATGGCCCTCTTGACCAGGAAATTGAAGAACATAAAACCCAGCTATTTTTTCTCCGACTTTTTTTTCTTCTTTTTGCTGTGCTATAGATATAGAGGCCGTACAACTATGGGTAGCAAAATATTCAAACTGAATGCTTAATCGGTTGTTGAGGCCGTTTGGAGCTCTGTCGTCTCTATGCCTCTTCTTGGGTGTGTCAGATATATTGTTAAGAATTGAACAGCTATCTAAACATAAAATTGAAGAACTAAAGGAAGCACAGAAAGAGTCGCGGTTAATTCAGTTGCTTTTTAAAATGCTTTGCGAAAGTCATAAGAATAAGGCCTGAAAACGCGCGCGGCTCGAGGTTTGCTAGGGGTCTAGTGCCCAGCGTAGGTGAGGTTTTTGAAGTCTAGAACATAATTGAAAACTTTTTTGTTAAGTACTTTTTCAACATTTTTTTCCTTCTGACTCTTTATTAGTAATTTCGCCTGCGGAAGTACATTGCCACCAAAGGGATAATGGTTAAGGCGTAATACCTCTGTAATGCCATTTTTAAAAAGCCTGATGTTGTAGGTGGGTTACACTAGCCATTTTACATATCGTTAAATGGCTGTTGCCAACGGAGAAGCAACTTTTTGTGTGTGATCGATTTTCCCAAGGTGAAATTGCCTCGGTGAAATTTCCATGGATACGTCAAAAGGAACAAAAGAATTATGCACTAGTCAATGTAATTCCCTCCTTACCTGGCGGAAAAATAGGTTAGAGAAAGTGAGTAAATATTCTCGCCCGTGCCAATGTCTTCGTTTGTCCCCGCCTATACCAGGGAAATGGGGGAACTGCAGGGGGAACAGACTACACACCTTCACTGTCGTAACCCGTTAAATACCTTTTGCATAAGACCTCCTTCAGAGCGGAGTTTTTCAAAATCATTTTCTATAACCTCTGCGATCCATGGTATCTCTGCAGCCTCTGCAGTTGTGATTCACGCGATCTCAGAACACAATGTTCAGCTAAACACTGCATGTAGTGTGTGGTTTTTTTTTTGTATTCATCACACTCTTTTTGTGTGGATCCGCTGGCACAGCAGGGCACTCTGTCTGGCAAAAATATGACGTAGAACTGTTAAGGGTAACAGGCTGCACATCTATAACGGCCTGAATCCGTCTCTATTAACCTTTTATGTTTTGGCACTTGTTGTTAGAGCTTTGAGCTGTGTGTTTTTTTTCGAGAGAGAGACTTTCGAAAGACTTCAATCTTCCGGCAGTAAAATTCTCCGGTCTGAATACCGCAATATCAAGTCAAATCCAAGACCCCATACCCCATTTAGCTGGGCACTGTTGATCGTCACACATTGCTCTTGTTCCCCCCTAAAGTCCCCGCATTGCCCGGGGTGGGGTGGGATTTGCATTGACTGGCACATTGTCTATGACAGTCCCCAAGGTGAATTCCATGAGTTGGTAAGAGCCTAAAGCATTCAACCAATCACGACAAAGTGAAATGTACCATACAGTAGAAATCACGTGTTGTGTACATACTTAGTCCGTTTGGCACCAAATCGTACGGGCAATTGGACTCAAAGAGTTCGAAAACTCAGCGACGACGAGTTTGAGCGTTGCTGCGAATTAATCAGTGTTTTTATGTTCACGAATAAATTCAAAGTTTTCTAGGACACCTTGAACAGGTTGGTGTTGAAAAACTAGCGAGTGCTCCAGAATTCAGTCCTTATGAAGTCACTGAAACCATTATTAAAAACCCGTACTTTTGACTTTTGAGCTCGGATGAAGTCAACGTCCTCGTTTTTAGTCTCGAAATTAAGGTGACTCGACCTAGTTATTTTGTGGGGGTACCATCCTACTTTGAAGCTCTCTGGTATCCCCACCTTTGCTATGATCGTAAGTCTAACATATAGCATGGATAAAATATAGATCAATCTACAATATAGCATAAAATGTTTGGCGATCGGAGTAAATGTCACGGGGATACAGTGCCACGCCTCTTTGGGGTGTGAGTCGAAATTCAGCTGTTGCCGGCATTTTTTCGTGAACATCTCTCGGCTACATATAGTGCGCATTAGTGCCATGCGTTGGACAGAGTTTCACTAAAATCGCAAAAACCCAATGCGAGAAATTCAGCGGTTTCCAAATTTAGGTCATAATTTATGTAAAAATGATAAGCTAACTTAACACGATTATATCTAATAAACTATGAGATTTATCCCTTTATTTTGGGGATCTTTATAACAGATGGGTCCTTGCAAGTCAGCAAAGAGTTTAAGAGTCCTTCTCACGAAAAAAGCATTATCTTAAAAATCCGTAGTTTTTTTTTCCTTCAAATGTTTTCAGGGCCACAATTGATTAACTAACTACCCGGCTTCTGAATTCTGAAAACTCCCAAGCCCAAACTCAGCCAAAATGCTAAAAATCTTCAATGTTTGCTCAAGTTTGGGCTTATAGAAGATAATGTCACAGTTTTTCAACGACCATGAAATTCAGAAGCCGGGTAGTTAGTTAATCAATTGTGGCCCTGAAAACATTTGAAGGAAAAAAAATCTACGGATTTTTAAGATAATGCTTTTTTCGTGAGAAGGACTCTTAAACTCTTTGCTGACTTGCAAGGACCCATCTGTTATAAAGATCCCCAAAATAAAGGGATAAATCTCATAGTTTATTAGATATAATCGTGTTAAGTTAGCTTATCATTTTCACATAAATTATGACCTAAATTTGGAAACCGCTGAATTTCTCGCATTGGGTCTTCGCGATTTTAGTGAAACTCTGTTCAACACGAGGCACTAATGCGCACTATAGGTAGCCGAGAGATTTTCACGAAAAAATGCGGCGACAGCAGAATTTCGACTCAGACCCCAAAGTGGCGTTGCACTATAACCACGTGACATTTATTGCTATTAAAAGGGTAAAATTAAAAATTGTCGAAACCGTTTACGATTTGTGTCAGCCTTCGATGTTTACAGCGACGTTTTCCGGTGAAACCACGTTCAAGTTTTTTCTTCCCTTGGGCAACAGGTTATCGCTTTGTAACCGCAAAAATGAAAGTGATTAAAACCCAAAGCAAACCCAACTCAAGCTATTTCCGCATGATAAGAAGCTTTGGGGAAAAAGTCTAATGTATCCGTACCTAAGGCCATTTTAATTTTAGCACAGGGTTTTAGAATCTCACTTTTGTCCCCAGGAGAGTACACTCATAACTATCATTGGTGAAAATAGTCTTTAATCCTCGTAGTTTTGAAAGTGTCAGTGGTTTTGTTTTCGCTTTTCAGGCACATCGACTCTCTTTGTCATACTTGTTGTGAATAGATTCGATCGTGGGTACTCTCATGTTGGCTTTCTGGAAAGCAAGACATCGATAGCGGAATGTTTGAAGGAGAAGTTGCCTCTCATTCCAAACACGAAGTTAGTGATAATCAGTGGCTTGTCAAAGATCTGGAAAATGAAAGAAATTCCTCCCGAAACTCTTCAGGTGTATTTGCAAAGGCGGAATGGACTAGGTGCGTTGCTAGAGCATCTGAACAAGCGCTACAAGTCATTGGACCTAATTGCAGTAATGATGGAATTGAGAAGGACTGTTTTAATACCTTACGACCGTCCTTTTTCTGTTTATGAAATTGAATTTGACGATGACGACTGGTATCATCGACATAAAAACATCGTTCAAATTCACGAAAACTTGTCTTCTCTTCCAAGACTTCAGAAAATGGAACAAATGTTGGAGAAAAGTGATCCTTAAAGTACAGTTCAATTGAAGTTAAATGTTATCAGCGGACACCATCAAAGGTCCCGTGACAAGGGGCCCGCTTAATCCTGCTTTAACTATGTTTTTCTCTTGATTCTTATAGCTTATTAGGCATGTAAAAAAAGAAAATTAATGACTTGGTATGGCGAAAACATGTTTTCAAATGATACACAATAGGTTGGTTACTTGGGAACTGCTCGTGACGTCATTTGTGTAGAAAAACAGGGTCAAAAACATATCACTAGCTATCTGTTCAAATAGGGCAAACGTTTTAACGCTACACATGTAAGGGTTGATTTCCGGTGTCGCGTAATTTTACGTCCGTACGTGCGGGAAATTTACGTTCGCAAATAAAATAGAGGCAATACATGAAAGGTCGCTCGTAAGCGTAAACGTTGAACCACGCTTAACTTCTCGTTTAAGCTCAGCATTTTTTATCTTGCCTCTATTTTATTTACGTGATTAAAATTTACGTCCGCTAACGTGCGTAGCCAAAAACGCATCAGTGGAAATCAACCTTAAGTGTAATAACTCTGTTGATCTCAGTATCGGCTATAGTTATATTATTTAACCTTTTGTAACTCTCGTCATTTTACAAGTAGTTCTTTTGTCAGTTATATTATTGGTTTTGCCATTATTGTTAAATAAGTTACTTCTTTGTTTCTACTTCAGTGTAAATTGATGTATAGCTGCAGCTTTTGTATCTAACTAAAGTTAAAAAAAAAACAAACAAACAAACAAAGAGGAAACAAGGGTGTAGAAACACAAAACAACTTCAAAGTGGTTCCATTTATTTTGTCAAAAATGGTTTTTTTAATTACAATCCGAACGATCCGCACGCAGAAATGAATCGATGAGGCTGCCTTCTGACTCCGGATTCTGAATTGCGTAATGCGTACCACCGATTTCCTTGCAGACACCTCCCCCGTTTTATAGTAACCTCTTTATACTTCTACATCTCGAATTCTTCAGCATTCATTCTTATTTGCAAAATAACGACTATTTTTCCTTCAACCTCACTGGGAATACTACAAGGCAATGAATTCTTGCATTTCGGAATTAAAATGACATCATCCTGGTAATGGCCTTTTATAACGTAACATTTCTTTAACATTGGTTGTCTTTACACTAAGACGAATCTTAAGGCTAAAACTAGTCAGCAGAACTTTATAACAAACAGCTCAACAAAACAATTCGTTTCCCAAAATTTCTTAATTCGAGGTAGTGATGGAAGTTGGTTCCGTGTACAAATCAGAAGACATGACCGAAAGTTATCATTAATATTCGAAGAGCTGGAAGCTAAGAGACCAATCGCATATTACGTCGACCCAGTGGGTAATAATAATGTTTAAAATGCACCCCCCAACTCCTTATAGACCAAGTCTTATGATAATCTATTGTTCTCCTCTTCCTTCCTCGGGCATTCATTTCATAAGCAATAATTATAAGATACCGGTAGTCAAGGGTAAAGTAGGACTGATTTTGAAGGTGCACGCACGGGAAGGAAAGTTTATAGAGGGCCGATGGCACCCCAAACCTGGGGTTTGGCCTCGGAAATTAAATGCCATCCCCTGCGTTTCGCAGGATATTTTCAAAACGGACAAAAATGCAGTAATTAGTTGTTTATTTTACCCATCTCTAGTATTATCGGTAAGGTACAGTGTTTACGGAAAAAAGGGTGAAACAGAGACGCCGTCAATGGAGGTTACATTCAAAGGGCGGGACTTGCAACCTCGTTCCCAGGTTCTCTCTCCTACCCTTCGAAAGACCCTGGTTGGGTCTGGTCACGTGTCTCCCAGAATCTGGGAGATTACAAACAATCGATTTGGGGGAGGGGCAGATAAGTGTGAGATTTGTCTCTGCAGAGCGTAGATGGAAACTGTGCACCTGACCTTGTCTTAAAGGTCATGACTAGACAAGACAAAACCTCGAACACAGAAAACAATGCACAAAATCCTTTGACGGCGAAAGCGTTAAAACAATATATCGGTGATGCTTTCCTCTCCAAATTTTGGCACGTGCAGGGGAAATCGCGAAATCACCGTTTGTGCAGTAAAAACTAATTTACGCGGTGGTATTCGCACTGATCGAAACGCACTGGATTTTTTTCTTTTCTATGTTGTGGAGGCCAAAATAGAAAACAAATGTATGTGTTTTCAAGACTACGATAATATAGTTCGAAAGGGCACCGAAAAGATGTATCAAGCGTCACTGTCCTCACCGACCTCGAAAATGATTTAAATAGGTCGAAGTAGGAAGAGAGAATACACCGCCCGGACACAGTTTGGTTGTTCAAATGAAAAGAGGTAAACAGAGTCTTGAAAGAGTATATTTTTATCTACGGTTCTTATGTAAGTCTTTCAGTTATTTTCGTCGAAGTTTTTAAAAAATCAAACGAATGGCCGCAAGCATCTTTGTTAAAAATATGGCTTGCACGACCGCCAACCGTTTATTGTTCCTTTTTTATTTTTCTGGAGGGTAAGGTGTGCTTTAGAGGATTTTAAGAAATCGCTGGGCTGCATGTGTTTTTAAATAGAGTTTTCATATGGACCATGTACAAGAAAGCCTTTCGTTTCCAAGGTTATGTTGTCTGTTTTGTCTCTGTTTATGGTGCTTGATTTCCAGCTGTCATCCGTCGCGTTGTGGTAATCCTTTGCATTTGTTTGTAAGCACTATATATTTCTTTCTACCACTAAAAGCGATATGCGATACGTTTTTCTATTGCTCATCATAACAAAGGGTAGGGGGTGGAGAAAGCTGACATCTCACTTCAGACTAAAGCTTTCAGTAAAGTCACCAGTCAGATTTTCAGGAGATGCGAGATACATATGATTACCTGCTCCCGAAGCGCTAAGACCACTAATTGTGTAGGCTTTGCAGTATACTGATACGTGCCGCGGAATAGGGTATGGTTTTTAAGGTTCTCGGTCCTTAAATAGGGTATCTGTTTTGACCCTTTTGTTTCTGTGTCCCTGGTGTGGTCCTTAGATAGGGTAGCTTAATTGTATTATCTAATACTGGAGTGTGAAAACGCCCGCCTAAACGAACGTTTTTTTTTTAAAACTAGGCTTATTCTAGTATTTTATGCTTGATACTTTACCTGCATTGTTACAGAGAAGAAATAAAGTTTTCATTTTCATGCTATTAAAAATTTTGTTTTTTCCTTGAATAGGATGTCATTTTTCGGCTTTCGGCCTTAAAAAGGGTATCAGTTTTCGCTTTCTTAGTCCTTAAATAGGGTTAGGGTTCACGAACCTTCGCGGCACACCCCTATCCAAAATTCGCGGGAGTACCCCCCCGGGCTACCGACCTTATGTTTAAGTGGACGGCGACATAGAGGACGGTGACTTTGGCCGTGGCGGCTTGGGGAGGGACGACGTTGACTTGGCGAGAGAAACAGTAGAGGTGACGGTCGAAGACGTTTTTTTAAGTTTATTGAATGAGTTCCTTGAAAGAGATCCCTGAGATTTTGGTCTACTTTTATACGATGGTGTCATATCAGATGAGGAATTCCTTCTCTTGTACATTGAAATCTAGTTGAACGTTTTGTTACTCGAAAAAGAATGTCCGTCGCTTCATTGAGCCTATTTGCGATCTACGTATTGCCACATTTTTCAACGCTCCACATTTCTTAGGCTAACAACTGCTGGTAATCGAACTTACACAGTTCTGGGCTTGAAGCAGTAGGCTTCACTTACAAGAATTTCTTGAGCAAGCTGAATATCGTGAACTTTAGTCTACTCCACATTCTTAAAATAAGAACATATTAATACGATAGACAATGCGCGCGATACACAAGCCGAGTTCCTTCATCCTGCCTTATCAAGGGGTTTATTTTGTCGAATGAATGAACCTATGAACACGTAATTTCATTTTGGCTAATAACTTAAGCAGAAAAAGTGAACTAAATACTTCGTGAATAAAGAAAAGGATAGAAGCTGATGCTCACATGATGCGAGAATATTAAATGTTATAATAATAGCATATAAGTAAAACGCGGAGGGGAGTTTTTTTGTTTACTCTTGAAGGAAACGGGGAGACATGGTGGATTTGCTTCCATCATACTAATTATAGTTTGACAACTTTCACATAGAGAGCTATCCCTCTGTCTTTTGTGCATTTCCAAAATTGATTCCCCCAAATCAAGCTTCTTCGAATTGTACCCCCTCATCCCCTCAACCCCCCCCGGACGCATAAACGATATCGGTTTCTAAGGAGCATGGAAACTAGATTGGGATTTCGCTTGACAGAACAGGAGGGCAATTTGCTTGCGGATGCGTGCTTCCGATGAACGACAACCGCGTGGGCGCCATCAAGGAAAGTTACAGTCCATTTAAAAAGCCATTTCTTTGGCGCTTTGAATACTTTAAAGTACTTTCCGACAAAAAATGTTCTCCATGATAGAATTAGGACGGTTTCTACGCAGGTTTTCAGTTGCAGATTTTTCAGCAGTAGGTTTTTTTCATCTTTTGTAAACTGTAAAAACTCAACACCGAAAGCCACTGTTTATTGGATACGTCTGATTTTCAGTGGCAAAGCAATACATTTCTATGGTTTGATTTCCAAACTCATGGTTACACTTGTCAAGGAAGAAATGTATCGTAGCAATCTTCAGCTGCTTAAAAGACAAAAGGTTATGACGTCATTGTCGTTAATGAGATTCCACCGCAAAAAAGGGGTTAATTTCATCCCTACTATGCTACTGATTCATACTTCATTGGCTTGTTTTGCTGATCGGCGCTACGCAACATTGACCCCTTCTCCCCCGCCCAGCCGCTTCTTAAAACTAAAACAGTTAACAATGCAGGCAAGCTGAATCAAATGATTTTTAGTTCAAGTGTACTCATTTACAACTATTTATTTGTCTGTTGCTTTGAAATTGTGGGTAATAAATTGTAAAATAACGATATCTATAAATCTATCCGTCTTCAGCCACAAATATGCATAACTGTAACTAATTTTTTTCATTCACATTAAGCCATTCTTTGCCATTTTTGACTACTAAAACACTTCAAAATTTAGTGCCGATAAAATTAAGATACCTTCAATAAAAGTCGATAAATATCCGGATAATTGTCGATAAGTCACAACTTTTTCCTCTATCAATTTTCCCGATTTCCAGTTAAATCAATCGATTTTATTGATAGTTATCGAATGTTATCGATTATGGACTCTATCGATTGCAAATGTCAGGCATTGACACACTCGCCTTCGGTTCGTTTGCCACCTTTTATTACTTTTTTTTTTACCTTTTTTTAAGCAATCCCACCCTGCAAGCAGAGCCTTTTTTGTCTTCTTGAAAGGAGGCTCTGCTTGAATCGCTTCAAGCCTTTAAAATCAGCGATTCCAAACTTCAAATCAAATCATTCCAAACTTTTGGACTTGTCCTTTACCTATTGTTTTTTTTTTCTCTCGTCAAACTGTGTTTTTCGAGTGCGAGCACCTGTTTATTGATAAACCGATGGTCACAACTGAGCCCGCTGTAGCAAGCGCACGGCTAAGCAGCCATAACACCATCATCACCGGTGAGCCAATGTCTGTCTTTGCCTGGTGC